ACCCAAAACTCTGCCCCTAAGCTCAGCATTACTCTTCCGGCTGCCCACCATATTCGTGCAATGCTGCTTAGACAGAGATGTTCAAACCCAGACAATGTTCTTCGTTGTGGGTGACCCCGAAGTATGTCGTACCCTAAAGTCTTAGGTACCCATTTGGAAAACCCTCCTTCTCATCTATCTAGTTTTTCCTCTCAATCCCGAATAATAACGCCTGCTGTTTACAAGACCCATTGGATTTCACTCAGTGTTTCACCAGCAAGTCCAAAAAATCAGAAGTAACAGGAATTTCGAAGCCGAAATTCCCGTTTCACTTAGCTGCGTTCAATGTCCGCACACTCTATCAGATTGGTCAACAAGCTGCCTTACCTAGAACCCTTGGAACTTTCAATTTAGATATATGTTATGCCTCCGAAACATGTATACGAAACCCCAATTTCATTATCTCTCTGCGTTCTCCTGATCCAACCTCAACCTCACGCTTCACCCTCCTTGTGTCAGGCGATTCGGCATCCGAAGCTCGCGGTGTCGGGATTGTGCTAAGTGCCAAGGCTGAACGCTCGCTTCTTGACTGGATTCCAGTCAGTAACCGACTGTGCGCTGTACATCTCAACAGCTCAGCACAGGTCAACAGCTACAGAATAAAGCGTCGATGCTTATTCGTCATACTGGTGTATGCATTGACCGATTGCAGTGCACCTGAAATGAAGGATCAATTCTACAAGGATCTTTCCCAACTGCCTCAACGGACATCGTAGTAGTCGCTAGAGACTTCAATGCTCAAGTGGGATCCCTGAACGAATGAGAAAGGCTTCTTGGCGGACCACATGCAATCCCAGCCAACCGGACGGAGATCGCTCACTTCAACTCTGTGCCGACAACGGACTGTTCCTTTCAAGCTCGAANCATGGAAACCGCCAACCTCTTCACAGCGCTGGACCCAAATCGACCACATCGCTATCAGTTACCGCTGGAGGGGATCGATTCAAGACTGCCGCTCTTACTGGTCCACCACTATGGATACGGACCACGCTTTGCTACGGGCCAAATTCTCCTTACGTCTGGAAAACAATCGCAAAAAAGCCACCGAAAACGGATACCTACGATACAACGTCAGCGATTGTTGCAAATCAGCCTTCGAAGCGGAACTCGCCTGTCTGTTCAAATACCAGCCGAAGGACTCAATGAACACTGAAAGCAAATCAAAGAAGCTATGCAAAAGTCAATAAAAACGTCAGAACCTCATGCAGGCTCAAAACATGAACGATGGGTCCCAGCAACCTCGGCTGCCCTGCTGGACTTTCGCAGGATCCTGCTCGCATACAGAAGGCTCGGTTGGCATTTGCCAAGTTGAGACATCTGTGGCGCCGTCGCGAAATCCGGCTGTCTGTGAAGGGTCGAGTATACCTGCAGCAGTTCGGCCAGTCCTGCTACATGGAGTAGAAACTTGGCCATTAAGAAAACATGACAAAGATAGACAGACTGTCGGTGTTCGAACACTTGGAGTTTTAGGTAACCGCGGTCGTCCACTGGAACAGGTAATCGACCTCCATGGATTACGTTGGTTGGGACATGTGCTACGCATGTCACCAAATAGGTTGTCACGGCGAGCGATGCTTGCCGATTCAGGTAGCGGTTGGAAAAAATGAAGGGTGGTCAAGCTAGGACATGGTATGAAGGTATGAAAACCCTAACCAGAAGTCCGGGTCACATAGGTCTCGTTAGGCTCATTGGCTGGGGACCTCAGGATGGTCGTACCCTGAGTTAGGTGTCGTAAACAGTGGCACTCGTGCATCTCCTCAATTTCTCTGTATCATTAGTCCACTGAACTTTTCAATTTTCTCTTCGATCCTACTTTCAACCTTTCCTGTCTGTCTCCTAATGTTCATCCAAATGGGTAGCCGAAAGATAGCAACCAAAACCGGTGCACGATAGTGCATGGTTGTAGAAACTGAATCTGAAACTGGTTCACATAGCAGAAACTTGGCCATTTCTGTTATATGGAGCAGTAGAAAGTAGAAAGTATATCACTATACAACAGGGAGGTAGTTTTATTGCTTGTCAACAAGAATTAAAATGGATGAGCATTATGTGTTGTACGATACAGAAGAGTCTCTGACGGAGTGCAATAGGCAGATCAAAACGAACAGCGGTCAATAACCATGCAAAAAACAAAAACCCCTTAACATTGATAAATATGGAACTGGTGTACAATTCGGCAAGACCAAACAGTCAAAACAGAGGGCAAACATACTGCTCATTGATTCAATTTCAAATCTGGAAAATAACATGATGTTTTTCGAATGAAATATGCCATGGTTCAGTCCGAGTACTTCTGTGTGTAGGGGGAGGGCGTGTATGTGTGTGGCGGGGGGGGGGGGTTAACACACACACACAGAAATGCGTGTAGTCGGTCGCTGTGTGATATCAGATTTCGAAGTCACTGAATCGCACAAGTGAAAACCAGTTATGTTCAACGTTTGAAAACTAATCCAACATCAAAGCAGACTGTGAAAATTGAGACACCGTTTATCGAGCATCCTCGCTTAAGGCCGAAGAGTTACAGTCGAACTGGAGACGGCTACATTACCTGTGACTAGGCTACGGTCATAGTTGACAACTGACCTATATCTAATCCTAGTAGGAAATGTTGAGGCAAGAGCACTCAGCTGATCATGTTAGACCTAATGAGGTCAATGGTGATCGTTTGTCTATGCTCTGACATCTGATGGAAGTTGATACCACAAAAAGGCAGATCTGAATTACGGTGAACGTCAATTCCATTGTGATACAAATGTGCAACGTGCAGCGACCTGACCTGTTCTGATTAACGCGTAGATCAAATTTTAGACACTAGATGGAGTGAGCACAAACACACATGATTACCGGCAGCTGAGTGAATCGAATCGTTCACAAAAAACTACGAAGAAAAAAATTCAATTCCAAATCTACTCCTCCACCACCACCGGGGCTCCTACATAGGGTTCATGTTTTCTTTTCTTACAACAGGTATCGAACAGGGATGAAAGGAGCGAACAATGCCTTCCAGTGCAAGGTCTCTTAGCTCTGCCTCCGACAGATTTTGTTCCATAATTAAATAACGAAACCAGTTGCTGAACACCCCTTTGTCGATTAAACGGAGTGTCAGTACACAAAATTTTTTTGCGAGGAAACAATGGATCAGCAGTGCACGTCAGAAAAGATACAATAAATGGTCAAGGAAGCTGTCCTTGGTAATGCTTGGAATTTGGTGTTAGGCGGCTTCACAGTTGTTGGGTTCGATACCACGCTCCTTCCAGTGGTGAGGTGTTGTTTGATTCGTCACTCAGTCCCGGGACTGAGACTGCTGGTTCTCCCGGACTACTGGGTTTATCGCTATTGGTGTGTATCGAACTCGCGCTCATGCATTCAACCAGTGTTCTTGCAATCTCAGTCTGTATGAATTCTCTATCTACCGCTTGAATTCGCTCTCAACATTCCAATCTTCATTCTGCTCTTCTATCCGAATAGGCTGCCAAAAGATAGTAACCAAAACGGGCCCGCGAAAGTGCATGGTTAATAGAAGAAATTAGCTTGTCTTAGCCACGATGAATGCTATTAACCTTATCAATGCATGGTTAATGGTTGTAACTGTATCGTTGTATAGTTGAAATTGTATCGCATAATGGAAGAATCAGACCAACTATCAGATTTATCTATAGGTAATCGATTAGTTTAGGGATGAGAAATTAACAAACAATTGATTATTTAATCGAACAGGACTGATAGCGACAAATCCAGAAGAACCGAGCTTCATATTCAATTCCCCAGTCGCGTGATTCAAACCACGGTATTCGGTCTAAATTGCAAAAGACTCCACATTAGATCGGAAGTGTATTTCACCAGTGGGCAAAATAGCGAACGAATGTGGTTGGTTTTGAGGAGTATGTGTGGCGAGCCCAAGTGAGGATAGCAACAGCAAATAAGGAACACATCGAACAGAGCGGAGCAGTGGGGACAGGTTAAGTTGAACAGAATACACTTGAAATGAGTGGCGAAATGCAACTCATCGATCAGTAAATCGATCCAACAGTGAACCGAATGGAATGGATGACAAAGATGCCTCGTATCGGCTCCTCTACTCACCCATTCATTCATTCATCCACCTCCGCCCTTAGTTTGTGCATAACCAGCCAGGATGAATGACCGATCGAATGAGCAAGGGCAAAAGCAAACTGACTAGAGGATAGTGCATCTCAAGTTTCCGGGTCCGGGGCAGAACGGGCAGACGGGCGGTTGGGATGGGTTGTGGAACGGCGTGTTTGACACGGACGAAATCCGAATCAGGTGTGGGACAACAACAACATCAACAACAACTAAACGGACCGAGTGCGTGTACGGTATCGGTGCCGATTTTGTTTCGCCTACGCACATACACACACACACACACACGAATGAGTACGAACCCTCGCGATTGTCGAACAGATAGATATGATCACAAATCCCGACGACAGACATCATTGTCCGCGTGGTTAAGTATTTGTCTGTCGTGGAGTGTAAGTGCAGCATGTGTTTACGTTTGGAGCGCCTAAGACACAACACAGACAAGAGGGTTAAGATTAGTAGAAGAGAAAAAAAAACAACAGCAGGATTCAGTCACGGAAATGGGGCGACCGGAACACAAAGGAAACAAGAACGAGTGAACACATCCTCTGTTCGGGAGACACTGATTGTCTTTACATGTCTTTACACATCCGACGAGTTTTCTCACATTCGATTATGAGGAGGTAGGTTCATTCGTTCGCGATCGATCCGGATGAGATAGACAACCAGTGAAGAGGAACGCGCATGGGGGTGGCAGATTAAAAAAGAAGGACAAAAAAGGAAGAAGAATAGAATTTGTATAGATTAATTAATTAACAGCGTTCTCATACCATTGTTTTGCCATCAACCGAGGGTGGATGGGCGAAATATGGCCAAGATACAAACCCTCGGGTTGTTTATGATATCATCACACAGTGCAATCAACAGAGCTCCCGAAACAAGTTTCGTGGATGACAGATCCGGGATGGAAGTATGGACGCTGGAGGGGGGGCTAAGGAAAGGCTGGTGAAAAGATAGCAAATGCGAAGAGGTAACGACAACGATTGNGGGGCGCGGGGGCAGAAGCGCACTATCGATGATAAACAAAATGATAGTAGCGGTAGTAATAAAGACAAGATGAATTGGTAATGTTGTTCGAGAATACGACCTAAAATCCCGGGAGAAAAGTGGAATTGCATAGTTTGTTTGTACAGGACGCGGTGATCATGTCCGGCGTCCATGTTTGAATTAGACGACGACGGGGATGGCGGGGGAGGGTAGTAGTATGCACGGGTTGATGGAGTATGGCGATGATCGGTGATAACAGAGAGAAACGACCCGGGAAAAAGATGGCAGGGATTACAAGTGAACTGATAGAGTTTGAGAATCCATATATCCCAGTGCTGGCGGGCTAGAGGGGCGGGCGGGGTGATTTTGGTCAGGACAAATAAGATTATGGCTGTGGGGATAGAATAAAGAGAGAGAGAACATGGTTCAATCACAAGCGACTTGAGCCCGATTTGAGTCAGATCGCAACTGCGTCAGCAGTTATGTTAGATGAGGAGGTGGAGAGTAGCGTAGATGATGGTCCAATGAGCGGAAAGAATTATGGCAATGGAGTAATCACCTCCACATAATTGATGGGGAAATAACCCCGGCGACCGTTCAATTCACCTTCAAACCAATTTTCATCGACCTGCTGGATTAGACGTATGACATCACCTTCCGAGAAAGCCAATTCAGACGAATTTTCCGCTTCAAAGTCATACAGTCCACGGCAAGAAGGACCTTGTACTAAAGGAATAACAGGATGGGAAAAATGGGCGAGAAGTTGATAAAACAGTGATCCCAGATTTAAATTAATGGATTTTTTATATTGAAAAGGTGCTCAAAACAAAACGAAAAAAAAGAAACAGCAGCAAATTAATGGCAATGCATTGGATCGGCAACACTGAATCCGTTTCCAGTGGGGAATCATTCGGGAATGGGATAAGAAAAAGTNACTTGTCACAGAAAGTCTGAAAAGATATCCGAATTCTCTAGTTTATGACCTGTGAATGAAGCAGGTAGCATGCAAACATGGTCTGGCGTGAAACTGGAGAACATGCAAAAGATACAGGTTAGCCACGAAAAAGGATCCATGTGAAAAGCAATTGGATCCCAAACTTCTAGCCAATATATACATAT